CCGCGCGGTCTGGGGTCTGTGCACCACGTCTTGGCACATCCCTCCGAGTGCTGCATGTGGGGCCGGAGCCTGCGCTGCATCTCGGAAGAGGCGAAGAGCAGCAGCCGGCAACGCTCTGGGGTTTTGTGTTACCAACAAAACCGCCTTCACTCTGAGAGATGGACAGAGCCCCCGCAGCCCCGTGCCAGGGACGTGGGCACTGCGATGCTGCACAGCCTCACCTTCCTCCTGCTCCTGCAGCTCCCTGGGGGGAGCCGATACCAGAATTCCAGAGCTCTCCCTGGACACACAGTCACATCCAGCAGCTCAGGCACTCCTGGTGCCATTCGCTGCATCCAGCTCAATTTTAATGGCTCTAAAATCCTCTTGCTAACCAAGGGCTGGGTTGCCATGCCTCTCCACAGCTCTGCCATCCCAACACTGTATTTATCTGTTTCCTTCTCTTTCAACTCATTAGTTAATGCTGTTCCCCTCCCGTGGGAGCACCCGTCGTGCTCGAAGTGCACTGGGGTCTGGTTGGGGTCTCCAAACGCCTCCTGCTTGTCTCTGCCCAGGTTTGGCGTACACCTGCCTGGAGGCTGCGACAGGACGGGCCCTCCTGCGCCAGCACATGGACAACACGGGGGAGGACCATCCGCTCAACAAGCTGCGCGTGGTCATCGAGCCAGGTCTGCGGGGTGTCCCCGTCCTCCTGCAGCCGGCTGCAGGGAGCAGGGGCAAGCGAGATGCCATGTTGTGGGGGGAAGCCCTGCTGCTGGGGTGTTTCATGGTTTGCGATAAAATTGGTGCTGGTGGTGGGACCTGAGTGGGGCAATGGCTCCAGGAGGGGTGTGACAGGCTTCCACCCAGCACAGAAAGCAGAAATCTTGGTGCATGCAAGGGCTGTTTTGTTTTGCAGATGATTCCTGAGGGTTTTCCCTTTTTCTAGGTGTCAATCCGGACGACACGTACAACGAAACGCCCTACGAGAAGGGGTACTGCTTCGTGAGCTACTTGGCCCATCTCGTGGGGGACCAGAGCAAGTTTGATGCCTTCCTCCAGGTCGGTACAGGGAGGTGCCAGGTGGAGGTGCCAAGTCTTATGAAACCTTGTGGTGGGAGGCCAGAGCGCAGTGGGACCCCGGGAAGGGTGGGCTGGACAGGGTGGCTGGGGAGAGGAAGAGGAGGTGGGAAACAGAGATATTTGTGGAGGGGGTGAGATGAGGGCAGAGCTTGGCCCTGTGCTGGCTGCAGGCAGTGGTCAAAGGCCTCCCAGGGGATGCAGGGGACCGGGTAGCCATGGGGGCAGAACAGGGGCTGGCGTGGGCTCTGCAGCACTGAGCCCTTGTAAGCTGCAGCATGGGGAAGCCTTGGCAGCACTGCTGGGGTTGATGGCGAGTGTGTGCAGCATCGTGCCCGGCCGTTCTCGCAGGCCTACGTGAACCGGTTCAAGTTCCAGAGCATCACGGCGGACGATGCCCTCGGTTTCTTCCTGGAGTACTTCCCAGAGCTGAAGGAAAAAGGCGTGGACTCCATCCCAGGTCAGCACGGAGCCTTCCTGCACATTGGTTTCTGGGTTCTGCTGGAGATGCTGCTGCTGCCACCGGCTTTGGCTCAGACAGAGGCAGCACAGTACTGGCAGGCTTGGGATCAGGTGCTAACCTGGGCTCGGGTGTGCGCCTGCTCTGCCTGATTTCCATACAAATCCAGTCCGTGCTCTGCACGCAGGGGCTGTTTCATGGGGTTTCCCCTCCCATCTGAGCTTGGTGAGTTTCTAGCACTGGGACATGAGCATTTGCTGGCTGAGACCTGGCAAGCACTGGGATCAGGCTCAGATGGTGCCCCAGGCTCAGCTCAGCCTTGCTGCAGAGACCCAGGCTTGGCAGGAGCTTTCCATGCTGGAGCTGGCTCGTCTCGCGGCGGTGAGGCTGTTGTTACTGCACAAGTGCACATCGAGCCCCGGGTGGCTTAATGGCCTCACTCCATTGGTCTCTGTTCGTCGTCATTCCTGGGCAGCTTTGCTGGTGCTGGTGATGCCCTTGGAGAAGGCAGTGGGACGTCTGGGCGGCAGCACGCGGTTCAGAAAACAGGTCCCAGCTTTCCCTCCCTTCCTTGCTGCAGGCTTTGAGTTCGACCGCTGGCTGAACACGCCGGGCTGGCCGCCCTACCTGCCTGACCTCTCGCCTGGGGAGCAGCTGATGAAGCCAGCAGACGAGCTGGCAGAGCTCTGGGCAGCCAACAGCTTGAACATGGAGGCGATCGAAGCCATGGACATCACGGCCTGGAGGACGTACCAGCTGGTCTACTTCCTGGATCGGGTCCTGCAGAAATCCCCCCTGCCAGAAGGTGAGGACCAGCTCACCTCCCGGGGCTCCGGTGCCCAGGGGAGACACAGGCTGATGCGCCGTGGTCCAGCCGGTTGGCCGGGGGTGTGAGGACACATCAGCAGGATATGTGGGTATATGGCCATCGGCCTGTGCCCGTGGCGGTCCAGCAGTGCAGTTTCTGGTGTCTGGGAAGCCTTGATCAGTGTGGTGGGGGCTGGAGAGCCAGGGGACTTGTGTCCTTAGACATAAGGGGACACGTGCAGCGGCAGGGAGGAGCCCTGCTGTCCCCAGGCTGGCTCTGCTGGGCTGCCATCTCCTCGTCTTCCCCTCTCCTTGCACTCTTTTCTGAGGGACCTCCCCACCCTTCATGCTGGCATCCCAAGCCACCGGGCACATGGCTTTGCGGGGCTGCCTGGCCCCGGGAGCCCAGCACGGGTACCCTCCTGCCCAGAGCCAGTGAGTGCCTGTGTGCTCCCAGAGCTGGGGGTGCTGGGAGGCTCGGGGGCCCAGGGCTGGGAGGATCCTGGAGGATTTGCAGCACAGCCAGGATGGGCTCACAGGGTCCCCTTGGAGCAGGGGCTGGGAGCTGGAGGCAGAGCCCCCACAGGGGTGGTGATGGTCTCCCTCTCGCAGGCAATGTGGAGAGGCTGAGCAGGATGTACCCGAAGATCTCCAAGGCCCAGAATGCTGAGCTGCGACTCCGCTGGTGCCAGATCATCCTCAAGAACAACCTTGAGGCCGAGTACAGCAAGGTCAAGGACTTTCTCCACAGCCAGGTTCGTCTCTGGGCAGCGTTGGCTGCACCCGGCAGTGTGCCACGGGGGAGAGATGGGCACAGGGCATAGGACCTTCTGTGCCAGACAGCCAGGGGTTGGCTCTTGCTCTTGATAGACCCACAGAATGGTTTGGGTTGGAAGGAACCTTCAAAGATCATCTAGTCCAACCCCGCTACTCCTTGAGCAACGACATCTTCCACTAGATCAGGTTGCCCCGTCCAACCTGGCCTTGAACACTTCCAGGGATGGGGCATCTGCCTTTCTGTAAAGTGGATGCAGAAATGTTGATAAAAGAGCTGAGAGGAAGCCCTTTCTTCTACAATACTTTCCAAGGAAATCATAGAATCATAGAATTATAGAATGGTTTGTGTTGGAAGAAACCCTAAAGATAATCTAGTTCCAACCTCCCTGCCACAGCCAGGGACACCTTCCACTAGATCAGGCATCAGGTTGCCCTGTCCAACCTGGCCTTGAAAACTTCCAGGGATGGGGCATCGACCACCTCTCTGGGCAACCTGGGCCAGTGCCTCACCACCCTCATTGTACAACATTTCTTCTTTAAGTCCAATCTACCCCTGCTTTCCTTCAGTTTAAAACCCTCACCCCTTGTCCTGTCACTGCAGGCCTTGGTAAAAAGTCTCCATCTTTCCTCTAAGCCCCCTTTAAGCCCTGGCAGCTGCAGTAAGGTCTC